CAAGCAGACTTTATGATTAGGAAAAAGTGAAGGACAACATAACAGACGTCATCTCTCTCGTAACATGTTTTGTCCTTAGTGATAATTAAAATAAAAATATACTTGATGAGGTTGGTCTTGCTGATTTGTATAGGATTTTCATCATTACTGCTATATGCGCAGCTTTAACCTTTGTTTAAAGACGTCATTGTTGTTGTTGAATCAAACACCGTTGTCAGACAGCAGTCATTGATATCGTTACTGTCATAACTACGCTTTTTACCTGTCATTTGAAATGTGATAACGCTTCACCCTCGACCACGCAGTTGTCAATTATGATAGTTTTTTTTTTTTTTTTTTTTTGCAATTTATTCCGTTCCAACTAATGATCTCTTCACTGAATCACAATTTTCTTTCTTATTTTTCTGTAATTATTTTTCTTCACAATAAAGAGTGACTGAGACAATACTGTGGAATAAAAAAGGAAACGGAGCAAAAGCAACGTATATACTTGCAAAATTACGCACTTACTGACATTGTTTACACATCCTAATGTTATATATATATATATATATATTTCTTAAGGTGTTTTGCCAGGTATATAATGCCTACAAGACAGCCAGCATGCGGCTCCCAGTCCAAGGGCGCAGCAAGATTAACACCTATATCTACTTATACCTACTCAGAGAGTCACGATGCACGGCGTTACGTGCAGGCCTATGCGGATGTAATGGAAAGTCACCGCAAACAGCTTGCAACTCGGGGTGAATTAAGCGTGGGTTGTAATAAATTTCTACTTTATAATTATTATTTTGAATGAATTATCATGACCATTGAAAATATACAAAAATGCTTCAAAATGGATCAACCTAGTGTTTTCTATAATCTGCCGATGAAGGTGACAGTGGGTTTCTTGGTTTTTGCATAACAATATTCAGTCAGTGGTCAAACTGAATAAAGGCATATACATAAATCTAAAATTCGTGTCATATCGGACATTTCCTTTGATTTGTAAAATATATATGCATATAATTAAATATGATCTTGATCTTGATATAATACGATGATGGTTAAAATGTATAGTACTCATATGTACAGTGGGCCTAATCCAACCCGGGACAATTAGAGCCTGTAATAGCTCCCAAAATAAATAAAAACATAAAAAGTAAAGGCATAAAAAGAAGCAAATGAGCTACTATTGTGGAAAGTCAATCATCTTGATCGATAAGATACACCACTCTTGCTTTAGTAACACCGGTAAGAATAGTAGGCCTACCTATAAGAAGAAATCACGTTAAACTGGCTCTAGGCGTTTGCATTTTTTTTTTTTTTTTTTTTTTTGTGTGTGTGTGTGTGTGTGTGTGTGTGTGTGTGTGTGTTTAACTAGAATCTGTAAAACTCGGACACTTTGAGGACGGAAAATTTGATTGGAGTTACTCCAGTATTCATTTTAACTAAAGGAAAAATACGTTTCACAAGATATATTTAAGACTATTTGTTTTTTCGACGAAGGAAACGTGTTAAACAGGGTCTAGGGCATATGTACCATGCACTTTGCAAGTAAACAACGCCACCGTTTGCAAATAAACAATGTTCTTATTTATAACTCCAATTAGGTGTAAATACATGGATTTACGCTGCCCTATCTAATTCCTCACGTGCCCAATTCGGTAAACAATCCTTCTTCACTTGCTATCTGCCACGTGCAACGCAAATCAATGTCCGATAAATATAAAACACCTGAGAGAGAAACTTGACCGACTTTTACAAAGCATGAGCCCCTCTCAGCAAGATACCGCCTGACCATGTACCGCTTCGAGAGTATATGGTTAGGATAATGCGCCGCGGCACGTACGCAGCTCCTCAGTTCATGTACCTGGTCATGAGTCGCGGTTTAGTGGGGGTTTTAATATGTTTTATACCGCAACGGGTTTGGCAACTTTATCTACGTGTCAAAAAACCGAGATAGTGATGTATCGAGACAGTCGTACTGAGTGGACGAATTATGAAGCCATGAGCTATTTAGTGTTGATCTAGCATGGTATTAGCATGGTCTATCCCTCTTTCCCTCTCTCTCTCTCTCTCTTTCTCTCTCTGACACACACACACAAACACACACACACACACACATTTTAAATAAGATCAAATAATCCAATACGCGTTGTCCTTTTTTCGTATAGTTCCTCCATTAACTTAATTTATCCTACAATTTAATGCGGTGTCACATTAACTAGTATTAACCTGATTTGACTCATAATATATCCCCACCTTGTTGGTGATAATACACTTTCAGTTAACCTCAGTCGACTGCTATTAGAGTTCCAAAGTGCTTACAAATATTAAAGACTGCAAATTCGCCAGACCAGCTGAAAAATATTCTCTGTCAAGAACACACAAAATTTTTTAAGATAAATAAATAAAAATTTTGCTCTGCTCCTAATCGGGATTCTTATTTCTCCACACTTAACAGTTAATCTGTGTGTGACTTTTTCTATTCTTTTTTATTTTTTTGGAGGGGAGCGGGAGGGTTGTTTTACTTTTAATATATATTCATGTGTGTCCGCGTGCACACACACACACACGCACACACACACTATCAAAAAGAATATAGCACCCCCCCCCCCCCCCCCACACACACACACACATCCACCCACACAAGGACCTACCAAACAAAACCCCTTCCAAAACCTGTAACCTAACCTCCCTCTTCGAGTCCACTAATGGCTAATAGCGACCACCTGGTCCTCCTTTAATTAAACCCCTAACAACTTTATCTGCCGCAAGTTGTTATTAGGACCATCGCGTCCTCGAGGTGATACACCTGGAGACTGTAATTAAGCACAGAGAGATGCTACGGACTGGTTTGTCGGTGACAAGGCGAGATCGGCAGATTACGCGATTTATCTCCTGCCACGGGCTGGGCCATTTATGCTGGGTAATAGCGCTAGGCTGCTGTGCTCTATGCTGTGTGCTACCTGTATCGTTTTCCCTATCGACGTCCCGTTGTGGCGCGGCTCGAACGTTCTGTGGCCAGACCGTCACACTCAACATATTCTTGACGGCCAAAAGAGAATAAAAATTGAGAAGTTCATTTCAAATTTAATGTATGTTACCCCTCTTGCTTTTTAGAATTTAATAATGATATAAACTGAGGAAAGTTTGATTTGAAGGAAGTAAAACGGCGATCGAGGCACTGTTGTGTAGAAACTTTCGTGGAAAATATCCACTTTTATTTAAAATTCAACTTTGGTTCAGTCCATTTAATATCAGATCAAATTCTTATCACCATATGTTTCGATTGCGATCACAAGGCGTAGACAACAAGCCATAATGATGATTTAAAACTGCAATCAATTTCTCTCACGGCGGTCGGATGGCGGTGACGATCTGAGAACGTGACACCCGTATGGATGAGAGGAGCAATCACATTAGCATAAATTATCCCCTGTCTGAATACGATGAATAGACAAAGGTTGACACACATTTATCCCCTGGCCAAGAAAACTTTATGAGTAAGTCTGAATATGAGGAGGAAGTTGGTATTTTAGGCACCAGTCGAACAAATTAAACAGCATCGTCATAAGATTTTTTTAAAGCTTTGGGCTAAAGGAAGCTAATGCTTTTTAAAACTTTTAAAAGGAAAAAAAAACATTAATTCATACTGGGGCCCAAAGAAAACTGATCTATGTCAGCCATACTGCTTTTTTAATGGGCACATACAGTCACCAGTCACCATACATATAGTTCTTAAGATTTGGAGGTCTTGTGAACTTTCAATTGATTACTTCGGTGTTCATTATTCAAGTATCGGGGGAGGAAACCGTAATCAATGAAGTTTGTCTAGATCTATAGTAACTCTTGAGGGAAGTCAAATATCAAACAGATCTGTTGCCAACGCTCAATCATTTACACAGCTTGTTCAATATGAATTTGCCCGAGTTAGCTTATATCATGGAGAAGTTCCGTTTGGCTTTAAATTGATCCGTGGCAAAATCCTATCAACTTTGTCATCAACGAAATAAGTTGCGACGTCGGTGAATCCCTCTGAGAAAAAGAAAAAGACAATTGAATCATAAAGCACCTGGGTCTATTTTATTTCAGCCTTTAAATATAGTATGCTTTTGGTCCGTCTTTGGTCAAGTTAAAAAAGACACTTTTAATGTACTATAACCTGGGTAGCACCCTAAGTAGCCTTATTTTGCTGTTATTTAATCGAAAACACGTTTTCATTCAATATTACCCGCAGTGGGAGACCGGCATGCGACTAAATAAATCAGCATTGCTGACTTGTTTTTAACTTCACCACAGACGTCCATTTTAAGCATCTGCGGAAATGCGAGGTGAGAACAACAATTCACGATGCCAGGAATAATCCACCCTTTTAAGCCTACATTCGCTGTGAGTTCATGATGAATTGTATAGAAGTGGTTTCATATATATATATATATATATAAACTGTGAAAATGTCACCTCCGTTCTCTTATTCTCAGAAACAAACAGACCAATTAATCCACAAGACATCCAATTCATTCGCCCACGTAATTCGGTGAAGTGACGTAGGTTCATCAGGGTAGAAAAGAGCTCAATTTGGAGAAAACGTTCTAAAAATTGCACACACTTTGGAAGGGCATTCATCTCTGTGTGTAGACCTATTGCACGCCAGTGAATGACGGGCCCGGATGAGAAAGAATGGAACCCATTGTTTTCGGTCTCGCATGACGCTCAGCACTTCAAAGTTAATTTACATTTGTATCACGCCATAATTTATACCATCTCAGGTAAAAATGTCTATCAGACTTCTTTACAGCTGTTCTGATTTTATCTTGTTTACACCCTGGGTTACAACAAGTAGCAGTCCCTCTTACTTGTAAATTGAGTGGTTTAAGCTGACGCGACAAAAAGGGTGCCTTCCGCAGTGCAACTGAAGCTCAGATGGTTTCAATTCACCATAATCGCCTTTAACTTTGTATGGGGTACGAGTAAGCTTTATCGAGGGCGAAAAACAAACCAAAACGAAAATCTCATTTTCTTTGCAATGGAGACCTCCATGAGGCACGATATTTATTGATAACAATTTCACATTTTTTTTATTAAAGAAAACAAGTTTTTTCTTTCTCATAAGGGCGTCTGTACAGACGGATAAAAATAAGCATTTGTTTAAAATCTCTTTTTACATCTGTACAGATAAGAACAATAATAGTAACATGATTGCAAGAGATCGGGTCTACACTATCGGACGGCATTAGCCTATTGGTAATACCCGGAGATCAAAATCTGAGAAAAAAAACATTAAAATCTGCACCATCTCAAATTCCTGTACACTGTCAGAAAAAATAAGTATACACTTTACAACTTTACAATTTACATTTTTACAACCTTTTTACAAACGTTACAACTACAAAAGAAATGTTACTGTATTAAGATATACATAATAACAATACGGAATTATTATTGCGTTGATCTGTATAGTGAGTTCATAAAGCTGCAAAGTTTATAATACTGGAACCTTTAACAGTCAAGTTTTATTCCTTGGTCCTTTGCGTGTTGACAAAGTTCATGGCAACACGAGTTATGGCCGTAGCTCAACCCAGATTGATTAACTATGAAGTCCTGTCCTTTGTGAACACATTCAAATGGAATATCTGAGAGAAAAAAGTCACCTGTTTTAACAATTCATGATTATGTAATGTGCGTAGCTCTTGTCCTTCGACGATTCCGTTTTTCACCCTTCTTTTTCAAAAATGCTTGGCGGTACGAGAAATCGGAATCAACTCGACACGAATCCGGCGAGTTGGCGAGAGAAGCTACTATTGGCGAAGTCCATGTTGAAGTTGAGAGGGGAACTGGTTGAGTAGTTGCGGTTATACTGGTCCCTGCAAGACCACGGTGCATACGTATCCCATCCCGATGTCATGTTTGGCGAGTAGAAATTCCCGGAGTAATCCATGGCGAGGGACTGGAATTCGGGGATGGGGGATCTGGCAGGGGACGCGGTGGAGTTTGGCACAGGGGACGCTGAGGGAGATGCTGTCGGTTGTGACTCTACCTGAGGCTTTTCTTCCTCGTAACAAACTCCAATGCTGCCTTCTTCTCCAATTCTGTACGACACCTCTCCGGGGTCGACCCAAAGTGTTAGCTCGCTTGGAAACACTGATCGTAATTTCTCACCAGTCAATTCGCAGTCTGCCCCAGCTTGATGTACCAGAGGGTCCATTTGGCCGTTAATTCGTATACATCTGTATGCACTTCCTTTCGTGGGTTTGGCTGGGAACCAGTGATTCTGATAGTGGTTTTTGAGGAGCTTCAATAAAGTCCTGCTAAAGACTTCGGTCTGGTTGGTACTTACGTCGGCATTTTTTCTGACAAAGTTTGTGAGAAAGTCCACCGCACATCCTAATTCATTTTTCATCGTGTTGCTATTTTTATGTTCTCGCAGTGTTGCGACTTCAGTGGAAGAAACTGGTATTCCGTTCTGGAAGGATTTGAGTTGATGAAACGGCAGTGAGTCACCAGCTGATGCCTTTATATTTCGCAAGGTGGGGATTTTTTTCCGTAGTCGCGTATCACAAAATCTCCCTGATATATCTCACCGTTCGTTCTTTTGAGCAGTTATCTATATTGACTAGTCCGGATCACTGTGTTGAGACTAGCTGGATGGGAATTGTCACAGTTTTTGGCTGTTTTCAGGCCTAAAGGATCAAAAATATGGCCCGCTTCGTTCTTCGTTGCAAACTTTTATGGCGTCCTTCTCGAAAGTGAGCAGGAATAATATTTGACGTCATGCATAATTATCTGTGACGTCAATCAGTAAACAATGAAACCTGGCCAATCATAGCGCGCGATTACTCAAAGGCCATATTTGGAGGCGGGTTGGCATAGAATAAAGAACAATATGAACGCCGGGTAATGGGTTTTAATCGTAAAATGTACTACAAGTTTAATAAATTTGTATAATATTTAATCATAAATAAATCTTAATAATTTATAAATTGTGAACAATGAAATGACAAGATCAGACAATTTACCATTACGAAAAGCCTCTCTCAATTTTATTCCCGGCGAATCTTTGTTTTTAAAAAACCGAGCGATTATATTAGCTTTCTATGCCCCGAGTGACGTACGGGATAATTTTAGAATCAACAATTCGCTTGAATACGAAGTAAACAAAGGGGATTTTTCCTCAAAACAGGGTGTTGCAGCAGGTGTCGCAAATCGGTTGCAAAGATATTATGAGGCCGTCGGCAGAAAGACAGTTTTAATATAAACTATATTTCTTAAGAATTATAACTTGGACGGTTGAAAATATTCTGAATTAAATGAAATTTTCTTGCAGTGTTGATTAGAAAATTGAAAACATGACTTAGGTCACGGAGAGAAGGCAAGCATTCATTCGCCATGTTATGCGTTGTATGTAGCAACCATCATGGTCGAGATAAGGGTTGGCAATTGGAATTTACATTAAGCTGACATGGTATTTAAAAGATATGGTTGTTGGACGTCAGCTTCAGACTTTATTTCTTTATCAATATCAAATGACCTCATAGAAAATATTTTGTAACGTCAGTCTCATCGGAAATTATTTTGCATCTAATTTAGCCTACACCTCTTTCCCGAGTTTTATCAAACCTATAAATGTAAAACAATCCTGCCAACAGTCTCATTAAATGCATTGCACAGGATTTGGCAACAAAGGGACATAAAAGAACACAAAGAATAGTCTACCACCGAAAAAAAATTTTTTTTGGATGATTAATACCTTCTCACAGTATCACGCACGCACACACACACACACACACACACACACACACATAAACCCTCTCGCACACAAACCATGCAGAGACACACATGTGTGCGTGCGAGTTCGCACTTTTATCTAGTACATTATGTACTAATGAATAACATCGGGATAAATTACACAGACATCTTAATTAAAAAGATATGAAAAACTATGAAAACCCAGTCCTCAAGGTGCTGATGTGAACATTTTATACCTGACTCTACATGTACAGTATGTATATAACCTTGGCACAACATAACCCGGTGCTTAGCGTAAAACGATCCTTGGAGTGAAGGACTTGAAGTGGAGTGGAGTGAGTTCACAGTGCTATTACGTTAGTGCCCAACTCAGCTGTACAGTGCAGTAAACTTCCAGTAACTGCGTCAAATAAGTTTACCTCACATAACTTCCCCCGGTTCTAAGCTTACCTGTACCTTTTTAACCTTGCAGGTGGATATTTTTTGTTTATGAAGGAGAAACTGCAATTAACTGTCGTAAATAATATTGGCAAGAGTAATCAGACTCTAGCCTTGTATGGCTTTTTTTTTTTTTCAAAATTGGACCCCAACAGAATCTGTTGTTTATCTTATTTCTATGGATTCGTTAGTGCCTTCTTAATAAACAAATTCAGTTATATATATTTCTATGGATTCGTTAATCTCTATTTCAAAAACATATTCCGTTATAAAATATTTCTATGGATTCGTTAATCCCTATTCCATAAACATGTTCAGTTATATATTTTTCCCCGGTTCTTGAGGCAGTGCCTGGTAAAACACAACAACCCTGGATACCGAAACATTTAAAAATGTCAACCGGCATCAGTTTCCATAGAGAAACATGGCGAGCTTGATTTTATTCAAAGCTGAAAATACAATCAAAATATCTACCTGCATTTCAAGTTTTACTAGAAAGAAATAATGAAATCTTTCTATCCACACATTTCATATGAATGCATTTCAGATTTTAAAGATGAATGCATTTCTATCTTATTTGCAATTGCTATTGCATTTGACATACATTAAACATACGGGCTACGGCGCAAAATCAAAACAAAATATCAACTGAATACTCATTTCAATCATATCTCGTTGAGGTTATCAGTGAATGTATAGGGCCTAAATACGGTGTAAATAGTGTCCGCGTCCTGGACGGAGAGGTGGCCTTGAGGGTGTGACGCAAGACATATTGCCTTGGATAGTATACCACAGAACATTTGAGGTAACACCACTTGCCCGGACACGAAACTCGTAACCCCAGAGAACACAATGAATAACATAATAACATAATAACATCCCTCTGTCGCACGGCAGGAGACCGTTAAAATGCAATACGGTGTTTTAATCTGCAAGCAAGGTGAAGGAGGAGGAATGGAAGGCGAGGGGGGGGAACCTTTCTCGATGCACTTTCTCTATCAGTGGCTGTCAGTCAGTGACAGCTCTGAGCCCAATATTTCACACGTCTCTGCCTTGTTACGACAATCACAATGGTGTCATAAAACGTTGATAAGAACAGCGCATGGTGTCAAAAAAAAAAATTGGTCTTCACTTTAATACCCACTTTAAAAGTTTATTTCTTTTTTATTTTCAGTAGTAGTAGTAGTACTTCACTAATATAAAATATTGCCACTGTTGTTTGAAAAGATCAGAAAAAAACGACTCATACACCAGGCCAATAGTTACTCTATTTCAGTGATATATATATATTTAATTTGAAGTGGACAAATAAATACAGGCATGAAGTTTGGGTTTAAAGTTCCTCTCTGAATCCGGCTCCAGGAGTCTGCCCGCAACCCCCCCCCCCCCTCCTGCCTGTAGTGTCTTACCTGCCACTCAGGTCTCAACGCTGATAATAGCACCGATAGAAGTCCCAGTAACCTCTAAAACTTATCCTCTACGAAGGCCACAGATTGATTTTCCACTAAATATTCACAGATATGTCTCTGGATAAATTGATGGAAATTTTTTCGCGTAGGAGAAAGGTGTACATTATAAACCCGCGGCACTGGTAGAGTGTGTGTTAAGTTAAACAAAGGGATCAGAAGAAAAACGTTTAGTTTATTAAACAATAATATGCGATCTTATAAACATTTTAAAAGTATTTTAACGAAAGAGATATGACAAAAAGGTTTCTCATTTAGGTAAACTACGGCTTTTTAAACAGCTACATCATAAAAAAGATATGACAAAAAATCTCTCTCATTTAGACAAACTGCAGCAATTTAACAAATGCATCTTTACGTTGTCATGTGTGTTTAGGTCTATCATGTGTGTTGTCATGAGTGTTTGTTAATCATAAAGAAGTAAAACAAGTAATGTTACTGTCATAACTGCAGAATTTCCGTCCATTCGGGATCCGTGTGTGCAAGCAGTCTCCACTCACGACATTTCTTTTGTGTCTACCTGCCACATGAGGCAAACGACCACTGGCAGGCAGGTTAATAACGCCGGTATCACTACCTGGCAGGTTAACGAGGTCGTGTCTCTAACAGATCCTTGGTTATCAGATGGTTATCAGATCGTAGATTTCTAGCGTAATGGAAAGATAACTTCCAAGACGCATCACTAGTCTTCCATGCATGAGCTTAAATTCCAACATGTCTTACATTTTTTAAAAAGTAGTCCGTATTTATTTTTCTTTTTTAAGGTTTGTGTTGTATTTCGAACTCAATTTGATCTTAATATAAATCCTTTGTTCTATGTAGACATTTCATAATTTTTATTCGAACTCATTTAGCTTTACAACTTCAACCTTTTGGTTTGCAAAATTTTAAATAAACTTGTAATTATCATTATCATTAAGTGCATAGGAGTGGGAGCTTGGGTGGTGGTGTGTGTGTGTGGGGGGGGGGGGGGGGGG